GAGTGGCTTTCCTGACCCCTAGGCGTAAGCCTGACCGTCGGTGCCCCCATCGGAGGTGGTTCTGGCGTCGACCAAATTCCACCGCGCGGGCCTCGTCTCCGCGGGGCTGCCGCGGCGTCGGGGCTGGTAGCAAAGCTGTAACTAACTGTTACAAACGCTAGCGCGCGTTTACGAAACACTCGTAGACACTTCCGTCAGCTCGACGGAACAGTTGCTGGTTCGATTCTTTTTTTTTTTCACATGTAATTTCGCCTTTTTTTGGCCGTTGAAACACTTGCCAACATTTGCCTCTCCCCCCTAAACACTTACATTTTGTGCTCCAAAACACTTCACTGGAACTTTGCTACCAACCACGCGCGGCGTACAAGTCCGTGGTCGTGGCGCGCGCCACCATCGATGGCGTTGGATACGCCCCTTGGTTTTGGGCGCGACGTGAGTGTGACGGCTGGGGAACGCCATTTCCCTGCAGTAAGATGTACCACCCCGCCGCGCACGTAGGGGCGCCGCCGGCGCCACTGGCGGAGCAAAGCCCGGCTTAGCGCAGCAGATGATGCCGATGCTCTCCCGCGCCGCATCGATGGGCCCGGCATAGTGCTCGGATCAGCGCCGAGAAGCGCGCTCATTGTCCGCCGCTAGCAGCCGCACAGCAGCAGTTTACGACCAGCGCAGCCGCGAGCACCACCGAGGCTCGTTGCAAAGCCATGCGCCGCCGCCTGCTGCTCGGCGCGTCGCTGGGCTGGGGCCTGGGTCCCGCCGCCGCCGCGGCGTCCGCGCGCGACTGGGAGCAGCACGCCGCTCTGAAGCACGGCGCGCCGGCGACGTCGCGCGTCCGCGCGTCGGAGGACTTCGTCGTCTGCTTCGACTACCGCACGCGCAACCCGGCGTGGGTCGTCGAGCGGCTCACGGCGGCGACCCTCGGGGCGGCGGCCGGCGGCGGGCGCGCCGGCGAGAGCTTCCGCGAGGCCTCGGACGTGCCCGCGCGGCTCCGGAGCCGCCTCGCGCACTACCGGAACAGCGGCCTCGACCGGGGCCACCTCGCGCCCGCGGCGGACCACCGGGGCCGCGTCCGCGACACCTTCGCGCTCGACAACGTGTCGCCCCAGGTCGGCGCGGGCTTCAACCGCGACGCCTGGGCGCGCCTCGAGCAGTTCTGCCGCGACGCGACGGTCGCGTGCGACGCGGTCTACGTCGTCACGGGGCCGCTCTACCTCCCCGGCGCCCGCGACGGC